TTTAGTAACTGATGGTCCCATTTAGAGTAAAACAGACCATAAAGCAGGGTATGCTTTAGGGCGGGGCTACCTTGTGATTGACAGCTCATTGTTTTGTGTTTTGTGCTGCAGACCTCATCTGGAACACTCTGAAGAAACTCCGCGTCGACCATGGGTACGTATTCATGACTTTGAGTGTTGTCTTTTGTTTCCGTTCACTGTGTTTATTCTGACGAAACAATCTCTGCAGAGAGAAACATGAAGAGTTCGGTGACGTGAAGAAGGTGGTCACAGACGAGTTTGTGCGACAGAGGTGAGAAAACTGACTCATCCTCAGCTGGATTACAGATTGCTCATTGACATGCTGTTTAAGGAATTTACTGTACATATAACCCCCCCCCCACCCCCCCGAAGGTGTGAATACTCACTCTCTCTCTCTCTGAGGTTGAAGCTTTCAGCCAGCTGATAGCTCAGTCATCTAATCCACAGATGTGTGATCAGAAGGTCACAGGTTCAAGCCCCACTGGGATCACTGTGTTACATTGTACTGGTGTGATCAGAGCCAGTGTCTGTCAGACCATAGACTCTGGTTTATACCACACCAAAGAGCAGCAGGAGACTGCAGGAAACCAGCCCTCTACAGCAGAGTGTCTGGACCAGCACAGCCTCCAAACATTAGCAATGCTTTTATTTCATCACAAAGGTTCCAACCCAGTCCTTCATATGCTCTCAAGCTCCAGTGTGTAACATTGAGGAGGATCTATTGTCAGAAATGGAAGAAAATATTCATAGCTATGTTTTCTTTAGTGTGTAAGGTAGGTGGCTGTGGATCGGGCCGTTTGCAGCTGCACTGCTAGATGCTGCTAAATCCGACACATTGGACCTGTTTTAAGTTAAAGTCTAAAGCTGTAATTGGGGTCAGCCTGTCTGCCCCTGTGCCTTTAAACTGCTGGTTGTGTGCTGCATTTATCTTTAGACGCTTTGCTTTAAATGTACACCAGTACGTTTCACATTAGGCTACCAATGATAATCGTATCGTGCGTCTGCCTGTCTGCCTGCCTGTCTGTCTGTCTGTCTGTAGGTACCTGGAGTATGCACGAATCCCTCACACGGAGCCAATCGAGCATGAGTTCCGATGGGGTCAACGTGCCGAGTTGGAAGTGTCAAAAGCCAAAATCCTCGAGTTCATGGGTCAGGTAAGTAACTGTGTGTTCGTCCGGGTTGCCACACATCCTGGAAAACCAGGAAATTTAGAGACTCCTTTTCCAGTCATGGGAACACCTGGAATTTAAATTAGTTTGAAACTCGACTGTTGGTGTGACAGTCCAGAGCTGGTTTACGTCGAATAGAAAGATTCTGCCTTTTAACTTCTGTTCCTGTGGAGCACAACGGACATGCAGCGTAGATCCACGTAGATTGATCATATGTAGATATGATCATATGAACATGCATATTAAGGATCAAATGTGTTGTTAAATACATGCACAGCGTTGTTAATTGTAGTTACAAACCCTTTCTATGTCTCATTTTAAAGGTTGTGTTTTTGTTTAGAAGTTTTATCTACAGATGCTGTAGGTTGCCTTCTAAAGGAGGCTGCCATGTTTCTACAGTAGCCCACAACGGACAAACCAACCTTTTAACGGGCAGATTTTCTGTAAAACAAAATATATTCTCCTTGATGGGCTGGGGCCAGATTAATGAGACTGAAGCTGAAAAATCATTGTGACAACAGAAAGCGAGCGAACGCTGATAAACAGAGTGGTAACAGAGTGTACCTGCCTGCTGTTTGTACTGCTGTTTGTACCTAATGAAGATGTTGTTGTTTGTGCTCAGCTCCATGAACAGGACCCTCAGACCTGGAGCCAGCAGTACAGAGAAGCTCACTCCGTCCCCAACTCGTCTCAGCCCAGCACCAGCAGCCAGAGATAATGCTCCAGTATCACCGTTTCCTTTTTATTTATTTTATCACTGCTTTGTTTCCTCTGAATGTGTTGTTGTATTCTTACTGTAGACTGCACTGTCAAACATAAAGCAGGGGACTCTTTTTAAACTGAACCATCAATTCAAACACTGGTTATAAAACATACATATTTGTATGTCAGTACATTTAGTTGAGTGTCATACATTCTTGATGTCTCTCTTAAATAAGTAAATAACATCTCATATCACACACAATTAGTCAGGTATCCATTTTCATTTTATTGCCTGGACTTTAACGTAACAGTTTATTTGCTCAAGTTCAGAAAATAAAATCTTTTCTAATCGATTAAACTTCAGTGATTGCATTGATTGACATTGTCTTTTCATTCATTCCTCTCACGTACTCGTTGCTGTTGGACAAGACGACGGTCCTGATTTAGTACCTCTGACATCCCAGTTGCTACATACTACAGAGCTCAGGACACACAGGCACAATTGCACATTTACACAGAAGAGAAGAGCAGTATGATGAAGCTGTGACCTCTTTAGAGACAGTTTGATCCGACCAAACAAAGCACAAGTTCACTGGTTTGACACTGGATTTGCTACCACTGACAGTAAGAACTGTGGTTTAAAGGGACGACTCGTTATCGTAGATAATAGTTTTCTGAACGTCACATTGTGTGGAAAGTAGTACATGCATTTATTTACACTGACGTGCTGGCATCCCTTTTTAAAAACAATAAAAACAAAAGATCCCCTGAGAAAATTGTATTCTCTATTGCTCCCCCAGGTGACAAAGTAACTGTAAATAAATACACACCAGCAGCCTGTATCGCAAACCGATTAGTGGCTCAGCCCATTATCTTTGGGTTTACTTCATTTTCTGGTATCAGGAAGCTGGTTCACTTTTAAATGCGACAGATCACCGCTGCTGCTCCTTAGCAGATTAACTTTAAATTAAAGCCCGTCAGCAGCCCGACTACTGAGCATCAGATAACTGGAAAAACTCGTTATTCCTCCAGAATCTGGACCAACAAGGGACAAAAGGCTGTTCATCCAACACCGAACTGTTCTGGCTCACACCTAGTTTTTAACCGCTTGGAGCATTTCAATCATAAACAAACTGATTCGGAACCTGAAAACCAAGAAATAGCAGGATTTTCACCAGAGTGGGCGTGTCATACTCTGCAGGTTGCTGTGCAGCGCCCTCTAGTGATGATACATCCGATTACAATGGTTCCTCTCAAAACTGGTGGAAACGCTGGCTGGTTCGTTAGATAGCACCAAGGTTCTGGGTCAAGAACGAGAGCCGATGTGTGTTCACCCTGGTTTAAAACCACTTTAAATACAGAATGAACAACTTTTACAGCTGCTTTTAAAAGTTAATTTAATGTCCGACGGTGTTGGTAGCTTTTAAACTTTAAAGACAAACATTTGACGACTTTCTGGTGATAATTGGAAATTTAAAAAGTATCCCAGTAAATTATAAATGCAGATAGACTTTATCAGACTTTTTTTCTTTTTGTGTATCACATTCGTAAAAGCACATGTTGATAATGTCAAATGTGTTGAATATGCTACAATAATTCCCACATTTATTTAGCCTTACTTTTAATATTTGGATATTATTATTATCTGTTTTTACAGCATCTTGTTCTTTTCCAGTTTTCTGATTATCTAATATTTCATTTTGCTGAATATCACTACTTCTATACTATAACATTTAATATTTATCTTAAGCACTCCACTTATGGTGTGATTTTACCTCTTAATTAAGACCTTTCTCTGTAAACCCAGAGTTAACAATCAGCTTCATGATACCAGTGATCCAGGCCGTCGGGCTCAGCGGAGCCGGGTAACCCATAGAGAGCCACACTAAGTCGAACTCGCTTTACGATACAGGCCCCGGATCTTGACCTTAAACCCCCCTTCAAGTAATCCTGATCCCAAAGCAGCTACACTAAACAACAAAAACAGCCAGTCATCTTTGAAATATTTTCATATTTAAAAAAACACTGACACCCTGCACCAGATCACCTTTTATATCTTATTAAAATGACCCATGTCAGTTAAAAATATACGACAGTACACACACTGTACAAGGACCTGCATCTGCGTCCAGTGTGTGTCAGTGCATGGAGCGTGCATAGAGTAATCATGTACAGTATATTTGACTAATGTGAGGCACATCATGGTATTGGGCAGTTTAAAGTGCCAAATGTCTCCTTTTACTCTCAAAGGATTGTGGGGTGTGTGGTTTGCACAATCTCTCTCTCTCTCTCTCTCTCTCTCCTGTGACAATACAACCACATCCACCCAAAAACCCAACTACCAGCGTCATTTGGATTCTCGTATGATGTACCTCTGAATGTGGAGACATGATACAAAATGACTCACTTATAGGCCGGGTTGAAGGAATAGTTCCACACTTTGCTTTCTTGTGGAGAGATGAAAAGATCGATACCACTCTTGTGTCTGTGCGGTAAATATGAATCTGGGAGGTAAGCTTAGCTTAGCAAAAAGACTGCAAATGGAGGGAAACAGCTAGCCTGGGTTCGTCCAGCAGTAACCTACCAGCACCTCTAAAGCTAACATGTACTGTCTTCTTGTTTTCTTTTAACTGGACAGAAACTAAAGTGCACAAGGGTTATGTGCTGGACTATTTCTTGGCCGGGATCAGTGACTTCCTGCAGTTGTTGTCACTATGAGTGACAACTCCAGTAGGGTTTAAACATGCATAGTTTTAAAAATACTTAAAAAAACAAAGAAAATTGTACTTCCTATTTCTCCCCCCCGGTGACGCTGATTAAAGATTCTTTTTGTTTTGACCACTAGCAGCGCTATAGAGCAATGTTTGTACATCCTGTTCTGCTGATCGACAGTTGGAAACCTTCTCGGCTGCATGAAAGTAACAAAAACTGCAGGTTTTAGAAGCGAGTCAATCTCCATAAAGGTCCCATATTAAAATGTCTCCTCGCTGTAGATTGCACACAGACATTAGTGAGAGTGGTTGATCTTCTCGTCTAAAAAAGTGTATTTCTAAAACTGTCAAACTATTCCTCAAAGTTTCATTCAGCATTGTTACAAAACTCTCCTTCCTTTTGTATGTGTTTGTATGTGTAAACCAGCCACTCAGAAACCCTATCTGCTTACTAGATGTCTGGATACTGGAGAGAACATGATGACACTGCAGGTTAATAACGGACTGTTTGGTTTTACATTGGTTAATGCATTAGTAGTAGGGAAGAGGACAAACATGACAATGTTCAAAAACATCCAAACAGTGATCCTGGCCAGTGTACAGCAGCAGTAGTTCATTTTTCACAGTAAAGGAAGCTTCTTCATCATCATCATCATCATCATCATCAGACATTTGGCCTGAGCCCTGCATTATAAAGTGCATTTACAATGGAAATGCCATTAGGAAAAAGGTCTCACTTTCATATATCATAAAGTTTGTCCGTTTCACAACAACGACCACGACAACAATGAACACTATGATTACTTAAATTAAAAAAAGGCCACTTTCCATGAAACCAGCTCCCTGTTGCGTCCCCTCCTCTAGATGTGGTCTGGGACCGTCTCTAAAGCCTCCGCCGGGTCTCTGTCCACGTCCACGTTCTGAGAAAGAGACAAACTCATGCTGTCTATCTGATGGCACTGTGTATTTTCTGAATGTGTCTGGAGAATCCAGAGAGGACTGTATGTTTGTCCCCTTACCCCCACTGTCAGTTTCAGTCCAAGCTCTAATCTGTAACATTTCCTCATTAAAATATCTATAAACTCTAAACCAATCTTATATATGTCATTGAGTTCTTCCATTATCCCAAATGTTTCCAACAATGTTCAAACTGTAACGCTGTGTTTCACCGCGTCACCTGTCGATGGCCGTCATGTCCCCTTTGTGCCTGCGTCAGCGTTGTGGTTGTCTGGCCAAAAGCTGTCATACATTGATTGTTTTTATCCAGCTAAAGCGCCCACATTTTACCATTATTATTATCACTATATATTACTATTTTGTGCTTTTTAACTCTAGATTTGAACCGGATGAAGGATTTTAGTCATCAGACGTCTGGATCTTAAGTTATCAGAGAAACAAGCTGAGCTTTTTTCTTTTCCTTGTGTCCTGCCGCTCTGACCCTATGATTGGTAGTTCTTGTTGTGGTTTCAAGCAGCCTGACGAGACGCTCTTTGGACACTACTCATATCTCAGAAAACTACCCCCCCTCCTCTACATACAAAAAAAAACTAAATAGATAAAATTGAATGTACCTCTGGTTTGTCTCTGTGTGTGTTAACAGCTTCAATGTTGAGGAAGACAGACTCCACTTTACAACCTGAGAGAGAAAAACAGCAACAAAGAGAGGTTGTGAGTCTGATAGAAAGGTTTAAGGAGTGACGGATGAGGACGTTAAAGGAAGGAGAGAGACTGACCGTAGGCGACTGGGGTGAGTTTCAGAACGGTGTGGAGAGGACACTTCAGGTAGGGCAGCTCTTCTGACACACAGGGACAAGGAAAAAAGTTATATTTGTTTTATTTCAACATGATTTCGACTGGAAAATACTTCCCTTCCCTGAAGCCCAAAGATTAGATTAGATAAAGACATGTGTCTTTAAAAAGTGTGAAAATCAGTTACGTCCAACGCAGAGCCTCCCCTAGTTTTTCTGTCGAGGCTCCATTTTGGCCATTGTACATCAATGATCTGTTTCAACAGTTTAAAGTGCGAGTGTGGGAGACTGCAAGGGCCAAAAATGGTGTACATGGGAATGGGACAGCACTTTGAGATGAAATTAATCTTAAGAAATTGTTTTATTAATTCTAGCACACCGTTATATTGCCAACATGTCTGATCTGTTTTATTATTTTATTAGTTTATCTTTACTGTTTACTGTTACTGTTAATAGTGAGGCAAGGAGACTCTTGCACAAATGACACCACAGACTGCCCCGATACAGGCACAAAGGGGTTCTACGTTCAGTCTGTGTTCCGTTACAGAGCACTCAGTTACAAACAGCAAAGAAACGTCAGTGGCTCCGAAAGAACAGTGTCATAATGTAAGTTCTGCTCCAAATAGCGGAAGCATCAGTGTGCCCCTGGCTGAGCAGTTCCCCAGCTCTCTTATGGCTTCAACAATGGGCGTCATCACATCCTGATTGGCCAAGAGGGGAACCACCAAGCTGCTCTCCATCATTAATAAGGAGTCAGTCCCCGCCCCCCTGTGCAACAGGTGATCTGAACGATCCTCTAACCAACCCAGGGGAACTGAATGGAATTAGTTCATTTGATTTACCCAAGTTACCTTAACAAATACATGACTTGATTGTACTCAAATCAAATATTTTATGTGCTTAAATTGTTTGACTTAATAAACAAACGGTTTAAGGCAATTGGTTTAGACTCATTTATCAGGTTTTACAGTGTACATTTGTAAAGAGAACCAATTAGGGACAGTTAGGAAACTGTGGCTCTGGAGATGAGCGTTATAAGGCGTGAAGCTCTGTGTAGTTTTATTGTATTTAATGTATTTTGGCTCACTAGCACTCTTGTCCAGGAAGTAGGCCAGCAGACATCTCATAACAGCCTGGTGACAGATGACCAAAACGTTCTCCTGCCTCTCCAGCTCCATGATGACCGGCTCCAGGCGCTGGACCAGGTCCTCATACGACTGGTGGACACACACAGAGGTGTACACGTTAAACTGGGAACACGCGAGTTCAGCTCAACTTAACTGCGCTTCCACCGAAAATACATCAAAGTGCTGAAATATCAGTCTATTTACAGAATTTTAATAATATCCTTTGAATCAGTAATCGAGTAACAGTTGCTGCTTTTCTATCTTTATAGATTAAATATAATTTAGCCTTGAGCAATTTGAAGGTTTCACCTTGGGCATTTTCACAATTTTCCGCCGTTGATTATTTGATTGAAATAAAAGAGAAAAATGAATTGATAATGAAGTGTGTCATGAGTTGAACAGACTAAGAAAGAAAGGGTGATGACACTCTCAGACTCCCTTTCCTCACCTCTCCTTTCGGGTAGCGGTAGCGGTACTTGTCTTGGTCCCTCAGTGCAAACTCCTCTGGGTAATTCTCCTGAATCTCCTCGTATGTCATGTCCTCACAAACCCCCTGAGGCAGCGAACAGAAAAACAGAGTCAAAAACACACAGCTCTCTTTCTCAGCCCGTCAGAGCAGGGTGTAAATAAAGATTTTACTGTGAAAAAATAAGACTCTATGGAGTTTGGTGTGGAAGATGAACATTTAGATTGAGTAGTCGATGTATTGTAAGTAGTGCTACATGTACACATACATATATTTGTATATATATATATTGCTTGCATTGAAACAATGCAAAGTAACCGGATGGGTTGTTCTGGGAGTACATGTTGTGGACACTGATATGATAATTCTTCCAACACTCACAGCGTCGATCTCATTGAGGGCCTTCCACTGTTCATACTGGACTCCCAGAGCCTCTGCAGTCTGGATGGTCCTCTTCATGTGGCTCGTCCACACCTTCAGGTCACTGATACACTGCCCACGCATGTACGTGCCCAGAGCACTGGCAAACTGACCGACACACAGAGGGCATGAGAATACGCACACACTCACACTCACACTCACACTCACACTCACACTCACACTCACACTCACACTCCTAACCTTTGCCCCACGAGGCGACAGCCCGGAGTCTCCCCCGATGCGACCCACGAGGTTGAGTTCGCTCTCTCCGTGGCGACACAGGTAGATGGACCTCGGGGTGACGTGGATGTTCATGAGGTAGTACACTATCCTGCTCTGGATGTGGTCCTGGACCCGGTTCACCAGGTATCTGCTGCCCACGTTGAAGATCTTGATGTACGATAAGTTCCTGCATGAAGACGAGAAGACGACTGAAAATCATCTCACGCAATCACAACAACAGTAGTATGAATAGTGTAGTTTTGTTCAATAAATCTGGTGTTTTCTTATTGTTAACATCCGGTGTGGATGTAAAGAGGACATTGTGGACGCAGTCACCTGTCCTTGTTGTCATCCAGTGGGACGTAGGTCAGCTTGTAACACTCGATCCTCTTCAGGAAGTCGGCCACAGCTTCCTCTTTGTCACAGTCTACATAGTCCGGGCTGCTCAGCTTCACTTGCTATTTTGAGAAAGAGAGAGTTTGAGAGCCATAAAAGTACAGCCTACGTCCTCATCTAATGTTCACCACCTTTTCCCAAGAGACCGGGTCGCAACCCAAACCTGGGTCACAGGAGATTTTATTTAGGTCACAAATTGCTTCCTCCTGCTAAATATACAAATTTCTTCTCATTTATAAAGTACTTAAAATGTGCACATTGTTTCACTGATAAAGGAAAAAACTTTAACTTTTCCTGAATATAAAACTCAGTAATATATAATAACAAATATAAAAATGACACAAGCAACATGTATTTTTCTCTCCATTTCAGCCTGCCATCCAGACTAAGACCAATGTTTTCTCTCCAAAAAAAGAGAAGCTTTTCCGAAGTGGTTTCCAGAGTGTATAAATCTTAAAGCTTGTACGGAGCAAACAGAAACTGCCCACTGAGGGTCGGGGGCATTGAAGGAAAATAACAGAAGCTGAAGACCCTTGGAGCTACACTTATTCTTTAAAGGTATAAAATGTAGTGAAGTCACTACACAGCAGACAAACAGACACACAGACTGAAATGAGCTGAACTGAAAATAGGGAAAAAAGGGAAGAGAAAGTAGAAAATTGATATCAGCAAGATAACTGTTTCCCCATATGTGCAAACAATCTTATTTTGGAACAAACGCCGTACCAGATCACGTGACCTGGCAGAATGTGACCGGTGCTCTGACCGGTCGTCCTCGGCTCAGTCTGTTCCACCAGTAACAAATAAGAACCACACTGGGTCTTGGCTCAGAACTGCTCTTGGCTCAAAGTACGTCTCTCACAGTGATCTTGGAACAACAACTTCCTGCACACACACACATACACACACACTCTTTACTTACTTTAATATTCTCAGCGATGATTTCTGGATCATCACATATCGACTCCACAAAGAAAACCTGCACAGGTGGGAAAAGACCAAGAGACATGTTGGAGCAGAGTTTAGATTTTTCAGGTGTGTAAAAGAGCAGAAAATAAACAACAAACCTTGTAACCGTTTTCCTTGGCGAAGCTGAGGATGACCTCTCTGCGCTCTGAGGTCGTGTTGGTGGCATCAAAAACCTTACAGAGACAAATGAGGTTAGTGACTGATTGCAGCACTGTCCAAATGTGGCAAACTAAATTCTTGTACATCAGGCTTGGAAAGATATACAACTACTGCATGTATGACAAAACAAATCTTATATATATAAAACGTTAAATATCAGAAACTGAGAAATAAAGCATTTCAAGTTATAAAGTTATGAAAGTTGAGAGTTTGATAGTATTACAGCAACAGCAATTGGATGTGCTTCCATTATCTGAGCTTTATTAAATTACTGATAATGCTGACCGGACATTTCTTGCTGTTGCTTCACATTAGTGTCTTTGAGTTCTATAAATAAAATGTATTATTATTAATATTACTATTAGAAGTCTTTTATTGTGAAGAAGACACAGGAAATGCGTGTGTTTGACACCACGGTTGAGGGGTTGGACCGTTTCCAGCAGCCTTAATAGAATAAACAGAAAGTCACAGAAATATTTACATCCTGTTAGATAGCTGCACAGAATAAATCTCCACTTATGCTGCTCATGGATAAATTCAGCTAGGATGACTAGCATAGCGTGTTGCTAGCATCAGTTATATCATAAATAGAGAGTATTTCTTCATAGAAAGAGCGAAGAACGCCACCGAAGGCTTTTTGTTTCCACTCTTCTCCCGACGGACTGCAGTAATAGTTTGGATGCTTTATGTGGTCCACTGATCTGATTGGTTGAAGGTTGCTCCTGATAGACGTGATAGACAGATGGTTCATCCAATCACCACTATTTGTTAAAAGTGCCTGCCCTTTTCCAAACAGTAGAACCAAGAAACGATCCGGCGCGGTCAGGTTAACTGACTTTGATGTTGGCAGACTCACCACAACCTGCCCCAGCTCTCTGTTGAAGTAATCACACACATCTTTCAGGGCAGTGATGGCACAGGCCCTGCACACGGAGATAGAAAAAAAACACATTAATAATGCAGAATACACGGTCTGATCTGGATTACAGTTACCCCCCCACACACACCGACACATATCTCATTCCCAGGAGAGGAGACATGTGCAGTCACACATTGTGGGCAGTGCGACCCTGTGAAGCTGAGAAGGTTCGTACTTGCGTATCTTCATGGCCTCTGCGTTGTCGGGTCTGAAGAACTCGAAGCTGTTGTAGGAACGTGTGGCATCTCTTCTGTACTGCCCAACATTGAACACTGCAAAACAAAGAGGAACGATGTTGCAGAGGCCTCTTCTGTATCAGGGATGATAAAAATCACCAGACTTTAAAAGGACCAGTGTGTAGGATTTAGTGACATCTAGTGGTGAAGTTGCAGATTGCAACCAAATGAATACAGCTCAGCCTTCCATGAGTGTAGGAGAAATAAGGATGCACAATATGATCAGCTGATTCCCATGGCTGCATAAGGTATGTGTCTCAGCTGTCCTGTCATTATCAGTTTCTACAATTCCAACACTGTTTAAGGACCCCAGTAGGCAAAATAATCAGATACACTCGGTGAAAATAACACATTTATATATAAAGTGAGCGTACCCAACATAAATGAGATCGCTTTATCCAATTTAAATTTTCTTTTGTCAGTTTTGTTTTATGCAAAAGCAGACTCGTAGGTACCTGTAGAACCCTTGAGAGGTCAGACGTCAAGGGTTCTCTTCTTTGTTCCATCGCCAAAATGTAACCTAACTTTGGAGCGTTATTTAACCCCATGGTTGGTACCAAAGGTAAAGGCCGGGTCATGTAGTTTAATATGACACCAGTGTCTTCAGTCTAGCTTTAAAATGGAGCCCACGACAGCCTACAGCCTTGTTAAAGATTAAGTATAATTGTGCAGTAAAACATCTTAACGTTAAGTGTGATCACATGATGGTTGAAGGTAGTGAGTGTAATGGGAGTTTCAGTGTAATGCTGTACTGTCATGTGATACCTTTAGTTGTAACGCCGATCCAGTTCAGGTATCTGGTGAGCTTTTTGGAGATGTAGGTCTTCCCTCTCGCCGGGAGTCCCACCATCACTATCATGGTCGGGGAGTTGGTGAACTGGGGCACCGACGCTGTAACACACACACACACACACACACACACAGTCGGAGGGTTAAAACAGACGCACGCACAAAGGTTAATGTAGAAGTGAAAACCTCAAAGCTGGGGAAGGAAAACCCGCTGCAGACAAAGTTAATTAGAAGTCTTAGAAGTCATTTGAGTCAGACCAGAGGACTCTTTAAAGGAACAGTTCAACATTTAGGGAAATATGTTTATTTCTTTCTTACTGAGAGTTAGACCATTTGGATGTCTGTACGGTAAATATAAAGCTACAGCCAGCAGCAGGATAGCTTAGCTTAGCTTAGCTTAGCACAAAGCCTGGAAACAGAGGGAAACTGCTAGCCTGGTTCTGTGCAAAGGAAACAAAATCCACCTACCAGTTCACTAACCTTTTATATTTACATAATGGATTCTTTCTCATATCGATTGTAAACTGAATATCTTTGGGACTTTGGGTCAAAACTATGACCACTTCTTGATGTTGAGTAATTTTTACTGTGTGTATGATGTAGTTGCATCCAATTTACAAAAAAATGGTCTTCATCAAGTCAGTAAAAACAACCAAAAAGGCAGTATTCCTGTACACATACGCCACCTTCAGCAGTGGCCTGTCTCACTCACAGATAAGGAGCTCTGGTGGCTCACATGTAAGGTTTTCATTCCACAAGCATTGCGATGAAATCTGTTGACAGCCGCCATTCCCAGCAAACACAGCGCGTTATGTTTACTTCCCGGCGCCCCTCGACCTCTCAGCAATCACACTGCTCTGAGAAACAGCAAAGCTACGCCCCCGCATCCAAAGTCAACATCTGCAGCAGCACCGCTACAGCAGAGGTTAAACTTCTTTATTATCCAGTATTTCTGTCTTCACCACCTGGTTACATATAAATATTGTGTCATATATCAGAACCCCCCCTGTTGTGCCGGCATTACATAAGGGGTATCGCTGACTGTAAGGCTGAGTCAGAGCTGAAAACTGAACTACAGTGAAGTCAGTGACACATCTGCATGTTGTAGCGTAAAGCTCACTTCACACCACTGATCATCAGCCACAGAGCGTATCACACATCAAACTGTCACCGACTGCACCGACACATTCTTCTCTGGAATTTCTTTTTGTCTGTTCAGCTCTTTGTTTCATCACTTTCATGGGAAATACCATTTACAGTCTACCCCGGTAATATTTAAGCTTTTATCAATATAAGCTGGAACTATTGGTTGATTATTGTGAGAATCGATTCATTGTTTAAGTGTAAAACTGCACTGGCTCCAACATACATTCTAGTTTTCTTCTAAAACTAGTAAAGTGAAGTTGGAGGAAGAAGAAGAAACACAGATTTTTCAGCAGAGGGGGGGAAATGTCTTCCACACTTCTATGTGATAAAGAAAATAATGAAGTTCCAGCACTACTGTTGCATCAGAGAGATGCCTAAAGAGAGCATAACAACTGACGCTGAATAATGTTAAAGTGTTGGAGCCTGTCAGGTTAGATAATCCCGAGGGTGCACGTGCTCCCACAGTGAACCTTTGGGGTGAACGGCCCTGCGGTCTCTCACAGACGGACGCCGAGCTCCGCAGAACAAATCCTCTGAAGCCACACAAACCAACAGTTTGATGAGTGAACTCTCAGAATCTGTCTGACACCTCCCCCGAGGCACGAGTATCAACCTGTCTAACTGAAGGAGACACAGCAGCGCGGTGTCCATGTGCGTCAGGTGTGTGTGTGTGTACTCACAGCCTCTGCGTTGGCTCAGCCTGCCTTTCATCCATGGCACCCAGGTCTTCTCCAGAGGATTCTGAGTGAGCTTTCTTTGTGTCTCTGACATGGCTCCAACAGCCAGGTGAGTGTGTGTGTGTATGAAACCTCTGTACAGTGTGTGTGTGTGTGTGTGTGTGTGTGTGTGTTTGACAGGAGGCTGAAATAAAGAGGAGCCCTCCAGGTGAGCAAACAGATTTTGAACCTTCTCACACGATGTTAAAGGGGGAGGAGTCTGAGCCACTCGGCACACCTGCTTGGCTCCTTGCAGAGGATGGAGTGCCTCTGATTGGTCGGATGACCTGTCAGTCCACCAATCACCAAGTGCAACTCTAAACTTTGCCCCGGCACACAGGAAGTGGTATAGCGTGACAAACCAGTCCGAAGCATGCTGGCCGGCTCTTTGAGGATTTAATTAGATGACTAACAAAAAGCCACAAACACGCCCAGCCCTCTTCTACTCCACTACACTGGGAGGAATGCAATATCAACATGTGAGCAGCATTTATACGAGCAACTGTACATAAAGAAGTCTCTATGAAGTCAAAGTGTTTTTATGTCTTGTGCTGTTTGTCCCGTGTACTCCAGTATCTGTCCCAACAATGACAAAAAAGTCATTTTTTAGCTGTTTTCAGGTTTTCTTGGTGATATTTTAGAGGCATTTCTAGAAAAACAATAAAATGTTGTTGATCATTCTTCCTGCACTCACTAATTTTGTGTCCAATCAAATGCTTTTACTCTTATGAGGTCGTTGGAGCCGATGTATTACGTACACTGATGGCCAGGCCTCACTGATTACTGTACAAAGCACAACTTTATTCAGGGATTTGGGTGAAACTGCATCAGATTTTATGGAGATGTCTGGTTTTCCCTCTGACGTCCTCCGACTGCCCAGCTTCAATGCTCTGTGATTTAGCCCCTTTCCCAACATGCTTTTACTAATGGATGCCTTAGCTCATCAAACAAAGCAAACTACAGCCTCTGAAAGAGAGAGGGGAGTGGAAGAGGGAAGGATAATGGGACCAATCACATAAACTCCACAAAAACACCTCAAGGGAGAAAAAGTGGAAGACACCTCACCTTATATTACAGTTAAATC